ACCACCTGACACAGCGCATAGCTGCTTATTCACCCCATGACGGTCCGTCTTCCTCACCAGCATGCGTGGTTCTCCGTGCGCCCAGGGCCGAGAACAGTGTCAGGTAGTGCTCAGTACTTAGTAACTGATGAATAAATGAACAAATCGATGAATAAACGATCAGTGTATGTTACTAAAGATGTAAATATAAACTTGCATTTATATATACAAATATACGCAATGATAATAAATATATATTTACATTTATATTTAATAATGCATTTACGTGTAATTATTATATATAATATACATCACACAATACATTATATAAATATAATAAAATAATAAATAATAAATATAAATTGATGAATAAACGAGTAAATGAATTAATGATCAGTAGAGGCTACTAAAGATGTAAATATAAATTTACGTTTGTATATATAAATATACATAGATATAACATTACACATTTTATTTAATAATACATTTACATTTAATAATATATAACATATATGTCATATACTTTATATAATATATTTTATATTTTGTAATAATAATTCATACTTAATAAATATAAACGAATGAATAAATAAATGAATAACGATCAGTGTAGGTGATTAAAGACGTCAACATAAATACTAGATAAAATGACTTGGAGTCAGTTAGCCCAGCAAAAAGCTTAGCACCAAATATGTGCCCTGGCCTCAGCACTTGAGTGGGCAGACCTGGCTGACCCCAGTGGGACCACGAAAAGGGGCCATGCTGGTTTCCCCAGTCTCTCATTTTCCAGTCCTCATTGGTAACCTCCCATACCTCTTCTAGTCCTTGAAATTCTCTTTGCTGTGCCAAAACGTGCTTTTCAAAACTCACAAACTTGGGTGGCCTCTGCTTTAAGTCGGAAGGAAAACCATCAGTTTGACAGACAAAGCGAAAACCAGTGGGTAAATCGGGAACTGGAGGCGTCTTCTGTGCCCTCTAAAATAATCCCAGAAACAACAGGCTTCTAGAGCACAGGGAACTATATTCAATGTCTTGCAGCAAGCTATCATGAAGCAGAATATGAGAAGGGATACCTGTGTGTACGTGTCTGACTGAAACATTATGCTGTGCACCAGAAATTGGCACAGCACTGTAAACTGATGCTCTACATCAATAATTTTTTAAAAATCCCAGGCAGGCAGTTGTCTAGTCTATTGCACAGAAAGATAAACTATCCAGAGAAGACATTATGATGCAGTATTTCCCAGAAGGCACAGGCTCTAAGCGCAGCATCCAGGCACCAAGGACGTGGCATGTAGCCTGTACCCCCGGACTGGGTGATCTGAAGTTCTAGCTCAGCAGATTCTTTACTTCACCCCACCTAAGCACACCTGAGGCTGTGAGGAAATGGGTTACAATTTTGATTTTTTATTTTAGATCTGTTCCCCACCCATTTGCTCAGTGGCTAGTTGGTCTAGCAACAAACACAGAACCAGAGGACAAATGGTGACTATTGCTTGATCCCATTCCAACAAGGACAGATTGTACAGAACACACTTTTGAAATCACTTTTCACCGAACTAGCTAACACAGAGTAATGAGCCATCATGCTCTGACCACCTTCTTGCTATGTAACGGAGTACAGTCAGAGATAGCAAAGTACATTGTCATCAGTCATTGCAATTTATGCTGAATTTACTTAATTATGTGAATTTGATCTGCTCTGTTTTGTGGCACTAAACTTGCCACATGGAAATCGGACTTTTAAAAAAAGCGATTTTTTTTTAAAGATTTATTTTTATTTCTTTTTTTTAAGTGGGATTGAACCCAGGACCTCATGCATGTGAAGCACGTGCTCTACCACTGAGCTATATCCACCCCACTGGAAACGGGACATCATGAACATTTATTAACAACAGAGAATTAAGAGAAAACAATACCTTTATTTGCACTTGACTGAGATGGAGTGGTAGTCAAGAAGCTTAGGCCATGAGGGTGACCTATCACAGATCACTGTTTTTTTTAACTGAAGTACTGTCAGTTACAACGTGTCCGATTCTGGTGTGCGGCACAGTGTCCCAGGCAGGCATATGCGTCCATGTACTTGTCTTCACATTCTTTTTCATTGTAGGTTACCACAAGATAGTTCACAGGTCACTGTTATTGTCCATGAAATAGCCGTGTGAGTCATCTAAGGCGAGTATGGGTGACAATGTTAAAAGCTTTTGCTGTTCTCTCAGAGAAGGGGGCATAGAATGGTGGTTGCCAGGGGCTGGACAGTGGGGGAAATGGGGAGCAGTCAGCCAGAGGGCACACACTTCCAGTTACAAGGTGAGTAAGTCCTGGGGGTCAAATATACAGCATGGTGACTCTGGTCAGTAGTGGACTGTACACCTAAAATTTGCTGAGAAAGTAGATTTTAAGTGTTCTCACCACACACACAAAATGGTAATTGTGAAAAGAGAGGTGTGTGAATTATGATAAATGTGATGGATGTGCTTATCATATGATAATGGTAATTATTACATGATGTATGTATATAGCAGATCATCACACTGTACACCTTAAATGTGTATGATTTGAATTTGTCAATTAAAGCTAGAAAAAAAACAGTGATTAAATTAAAATATGAAAATCCACTATTGGAAGAAGGAAATTGTGAACCAGAGCTGAGAGGCTATAAATATAAGCCTTTTAGGTTAATCTCCCAAGTTTCCTGTAGTATTGTCTTGGGACAAACATTGTCCTGGAACACAATGTAGTTGTAAAAATACCCTCACAAATGATTTTGGAGAGAAAAAAATATAGAAGAAAATTGATATTAAAGGAAAAATTTGAAACACAGGGATTGGAAATGGAATTAAACACATGAATATGCTTTACAAACTCTGAAGTGGGGAAAGATAATGAGTCTTCATTAATAACAAGAGTAATAATGCTGGTGCTTAAGGAGACATTACTAGTTAATTTTACTTTCTACAAAAATACAAGTGGAGAACTCTGGCAGTCAACTGACCAAAGTTAACACCACCAGTAATGGGGCCGAGGGACCCGCTGTGACGCCACGTCAGTTCTGCAGTGTTCCTGCCAGATTGCACAACCCTGCTCTAATCCTGAGAAAACAATCAGACAAACCTAAACTGAGACGCATCCCACAAGATAATCGACCTGTTCTGTTAACAACATGGAAGACAAAGAAGGACTGAGTCTGCTTCAGATTAAAGACTAGTGAGATAGGACAATTACATGCAATGCGTGACCTCGGATTAGATCCTGGATCACCAAAAAGTTCAGGACCACAAAGAACGTCATTGGGACAATTGGTAAAATGCGATACGGACCACATGTTCAGGTAATGAGACTGTCCGTATTGAACTTTCTAAATACGGCGTTCTTAGGAGACCTCCCATCAAATACTCAGGCACAAAGGGGCCATGAGACCTGTAATTTGCTCTCAACTGGTTACACAAATAATAGTAATAATGTACAGAAGGGGGTTGAATGAGACGAAGCAAATGTAGCAAAATAATTAACAATTGGCGTTTTGGATGCAATCTTGACC